CAGACATAAGCACGTAAGAGAAGCCATGTTGGATCAGGCCAGTGGCCCATCCAGTCCAACACTCTGTGTCACACAGTGGCCAAAACCCAGGGGCCATCAGGAGGTCCACCAGCGGGGTCAGAACTCCAGAAGCCCTCCCACTGTTGCTCCCCAAACACCAAGAAGAAGAGATTGGATTTATACCCCGCCCTTCACTACCCAAAGGTGTCTCAGAGCGGCTTACAAACTCCTTTCCCTTCCCCTCCCCACAACAGACACCCTGTGAGGTGGGGGGGGCTGAGCGAGCTCTGACACAAACTGCTCTTTTTCAAGGATAGCTGTGCCAGAGCTTGTGACTGACCCAAGGTCACATCAGCAGGTGCAAGTGGAGGAGTGGGGAATCAAACCCGGTTCTCCCAGATTAGAGTCCGCACACTTAACCACTACACCAAACATATCACTGCCCCAGACATAAGCACGTAAGAGAAGCCATGTCGGGTCAGGCCAACAGCCCATCCAGTCCAACACTCTGGGTCACACAGTGGCCAAAATCCAGGGGCCATCGGGAGGTCCACCAGCGGGGCCAGAACTCCAGAAGCACTCCCACTTTCCCCCCACAACCCCCAAGACTACATAGCATCATTGCCCCAGACATAAGAACATAAGAGAAGCCATGTTGGATCAGGCCAATGGCCCATCCAGTGCAACACTCCATGTCACACAGTGGCCAAAGCTCACGTGCCATCAGGAGGTCCACCAGCGGGGCCAGAACTCCAGAAGCCCTTCCAGAGACCTTGCAAGGTCTGCCTGTTTGCCAGGGCTTGGGAGGGGGTCTGAACAGCAGGCATCTTTCCCAGGGGGGGGAGGGAGAGAGTGGGGGGGGCTGCTCTTTTCCTTTTTGCTTTTAACTGAAAATATGTAAGTACTCTCATCAGCCACCTTAAACCACGAGGAAAGGCTGGACGTAAAGAAACGTTTAAATAGCCAATATCGCCGCTCTCCTGCAGACGCCGAGGACAAAGTGGAGCGCTTGCTTGAGAAGGTGGAGCGGGAGGAGGCGAAGGATCGTCGGCACCACCGGCGGGAGGAGCTGGCGCCGTACCCCAAGAGCAAGAAGGGGAAGGGGGCGAATATGGGTAAAGGGGGCTGTTCGTTCCGGGGGGAGGGGGGCTGCTCCCAGCCGTCGAGAAGTGTGTGTGGGGGGGTGCAAGCTGCATCCTTAAGCTTGGGGGTCTCTGGGGAAGTCCTTGGAAGGTGGGGGGGAGGGCTTGGGAAGCCGGAAGGAGCCCTGAATTCCTCTGACTTTCTTTCTCCGTGCCCCACAGCAAGCCAGAAGGATGAGGAGCTGGACCCCATGGATCCCAGTGCTTACTCTGATGCCCCACGGTCAGTGAGCCGAGAATTGGGGGTGGGTGGGGGGCAGGGGGTGCGTGTGTACTTGGCGATGCCGTTCCTGCGGGTCCTCTCAAGATGAAGATTACAGGGACGGGCGTGAAAGTTCCCTAAGGTGTAGGGAGTCTGTAAGAGCAACAGGAGAGCCCTGCTGGATCAGACCAGTGAGGGTCCATCTAGTCCAGTCACACGGTGACCAGCCAGTTTCTCTGGAGGGCCAACAACAGGGCAGAGAGGCCGAGGCTTTCCCCGATAAGAACATCAGAAGAGCCCTGCTGGATCAGACCTGTGGTCCATCCAGCCCAGCATCCTGTCTCACACACTGGCCAACCAGTTCCTCTGGACAGCCAAAAACAGGGCAGAGAGGGCGAGGCTTTCTTCCCCTGATAAGAACATAAAGAGAGCCCTGCTGGATCAGACCAGTGAGGGTCCCTCTAGTCCAGCCTCCCGTCTCACACAGGGGCCAACCAGTTCCTCTGGAGGGCCAACCACAGGGCAGAGAGACTCAAGCCTTCAGAAGAACATCAGAAAGAGCCCTGCAGTATCAGATCAGTGGTCTATCTAGTCCAGCATCCTGACTCACCTGTTGGACCTCCAGGGTAACTGGTTGGCCACTAACAGGGCACAGAGGTGCCAAAGCCTTTCCCGGACCTTGTCTCCATGTGCTGCTATTCAGGTGTTGACTGTCTCTGAACCTAGAGGGTTCCCTTTAGTCAGAAAACCCAAAAAGAAAAACAAGGTGCTTTCCGCATCAGTTAAGTTCTATTGCTGTGGAAAGGTTCAGTACATAGTATACGCTTTGTTCCCCTCGATGAAGCGTTTACAGTAAAAAGCAGAGGGGCTTTGTATAAGGATAAAGCTCCTTTCCCCCTTTTTTTGGCTTGCTGGCACGTTGCCTGGTATAGCCCTGTTTTCTTTCTCCGTTGGTTCCCTTTAGTCACCAAGGCTGGTAGCCACGGATAGTCCCTCCCCCACGAATCTGTCTAATCACCTTTTAAAGCTGTCTGTGCCTGTGGGATCTTTCCGATTCCCAGAGCAGCGCAGCGGACTAGAGCCTGGAGAAGCCAGGTTTGAATCTCACTTCATTACCTGTCATGTTAAGAGGGGGAGAGTACCAATTAATTTTTATGGTTGAAATGGTTAAAATGACAAGGAAACTTAATAATTTGGAAGCAGAAGAATTTTTTGCAGACTGGAAAGACTATTTGGAGAAATACTGGGATGTAAAGGACAATTTACTTTGCTTTGAGAACTATTGAAAATTAAAGGATAGTAGAATTAGATAAATGTATAAGAAAAACAGTTGAAGGATAAGTTACCTGTGGATGTGAATAAGGGGAAAGGGGAGGTATGGAGTAAATTTAAGAATTGGGCTGGAGGTTGGAGCACTGTGGGAAGCCGGGGAGGGGGGGGGAGGAGGAGGGAAGGATATATAATTGTATAAGTTTTGATATGTTTGAACTTTTTTTAGTATATCCTCATAAATTGTTTTTCCAAAAAAAAAAGAGGGGGGGGAGTACCCTCGTGAGACAAGGGAGCGTTTCTGACATTCCTCTCCATCTCTTACTCCAAGGGGGACCTGGTCTACGGGGCTGCCCAAGCGCAACGAGGCCAAGACGGGCGCGGACACCACGGCTGCCGGTCCCCTGTTCCAGCAGCGCCCTTATCCGAGCCCCGGAGCCGTCCTGCGGGCTAATGCGGAAGCGTCCCGGGCCAAGCAGCAGGACTGAGCATCCCCTCCCTCCCCTCCCCACCGTGTTTCATAATAAAGCTGGCAGAACTGTCTTCCGCATGGCTCTACTGTGGTGCAATGGCCGAAACTCCTTTGGGGAACTTGAGGCTGGGGGTGGGCTATTTCTGTGTTTGGCCTGCAGGGGTCACTGTTGCGCTGCAACAGAAAGCAGATTGCCGATGCTTCCAGTGGAGATCCTAGAAGGCTCATCTCCTCGTAAGCCTCCTTTGTTTTTTCCCTGCATGGCTTTGCCAAAAAGCATCTAATAGGTTAGGCTCTGTGTAGAGAGTCCCGGGCTTTCTGTGGACCCCAAGTGTCAAACCTGGCTCCTAAGGCAAAGTGCTTCTACTCGCTCGTACAGGGACTGGCCCCATTCTTGGCTGGGATAGCAGAATCTCGCAGCCCCTTTGCCTCACTACTGTCCGAGTAGCCCTAGATGGCGAAAATGTCTCCCCCTCCCATGTGAAGTTTGAGTCCAGTGGCACCTTTAAGACCAACACAGTTTAATTCTGGGGCCCTGGCCTGGATAGCCCAGGCAAGCTCGATCTCATCAAATCTCGGAAGCTAAGCAGGGTCGACTCTGGCAACTAATTGGATGGGAGACCTCCTTGGAATACCAGAAGTCAGGAGGTGGGGGTAGGCTTTATTCAGCCACCTGACTGAATATCCTCCAGGCCCCCAATAGGGGTCAGTCACCAGAGGTTGCCATGACTTCCAGGTGCGCGCGTGCACACACACACACACACACACACACACATAAAAATACAAAAAAGAAGCTCAATACAATGCATCCTCCTGGACTAAACTGAGATCTAGGTTTCCTGCCTCATTACCAATGCTGATTTCTCCATGCCTACTGCCCCTTTGCATATCACACCAGGCCCCCAGTAGGGGTCAGCCACCAGAGGTCGCCGTGACTTCCAGGTGTGTGCACAGGCACACATATCAAAAAAAATACAATAAATCACACAAAAAAAGTTTAATTCTGGATATAAGCTTTTGGGTGCATGCACACTGCATCAGATATCTGAAGGAGTGGACATGCACACGAAAGCGGATAACCCAGAATCCAATTTTGTTGGCCTTAAAGCTGCCCCTGGACTTAAACTTTGTTCTGTTGCTTCAGACCGACACGGCGACCCACCCGAAGCGCCTTCCGTGCAGTCATTCAGCTCTGAATCAAGGACTCCACACTCCCCCCAGTGCTTCTCAATCCTGTATTAGTTTACACAGCAATAAGTGGGAGCAGCAGGACGAGTCTTTTAAAAGATTTACGAGTGTAAAAGATACGCCGGCTCTGAGCACAGTCTGCTTTGAGCCTTTTCTTCATGATGCCATTAATACTGAGCATAATGCCGCAGCCCCACGGGACAAGAGGGGCAGGACAGTGCGTGTATATACACACAACACCCCGTGGGTGCTGGCTTTCTACGCGGGGGAGGGGGAGGAAAGACTTCGGTTCTCTTGGGTCATGCACAAGTTCCCAGGCAATTCCCAGGCTCCCAAGAGGGAACCCAAGAATCTGACTCTTTTTGGTTGACTCTCGGAGGCCTTGATTTGTGCTGAGTAAGTGGCGTGCTTTGAAATACTTGCGGGGCTGCAGCATGTACGGCGAAGCGCGCACACAAACCCCCAAGGGGGGTGGGAGAATGGCTCCGCTTTGACTTCCCTACCTGGGGAAGAGCATCACGGACAAGCAGAAAAGAGCAAGAGTCCAGGAGCGCCTGAAGCCTAACAGCATTTGTGGCAGGGAATGAGCTTTCACGAGTCACTGCTGACGTCTTCAGATTACAGCTAGAATGGGAGTCCACCTGTCCGCATATCGCAAGGCGGATGGATTTCCAGTCAGTATGGCTAAATGTGGTGCTTTCCTTGCAGATCGATCAAGAGGGGTAGCCGGGTTAGTCTGTCTATAGCAGTAGAAAAGAGCCAAGAGTCCTGTGGCGCCTTAAAGACAAAATTTGTGGCAGAGGAGGAGCGTTCGTGAGTCACTGGCTCACTTCGGACACCAAAGAGCCAGAGTCCAGGAGCCCCTTAAAGACTAACAATATTTGTGGCAGGGGGAGGAGCTTTCGTGAGTCACACCCACCGCTCCCTTCTTCAGATACGCTCCATTCTGTAGGACTAAATCCGATGCCTTCCATGGAGAGAGGTACGATGGGTAGCCGTGTCAGTCTGTAGCAGTGGGAAAGAGCCAGAGTCCAGGAGCCCCTTAAAGACTAACAATATTTGTGGCAGGGGGAGGAGCTTTCGTGAGTCACACCCACCGCTCCCTTCTTCAGATACGCTCCATTCTGTATGAGTAAATGCGGTGCCTTCCACGGAGATCGATCCAGGTGGGTGGCCATGTTGGTCTGTCTGTAAGCAGCCAAAAATAGCAAAGAGTCCAGGAACACCTGAAAGAAGAATAGCATTTGTGGCAGGGGAGGAGCTTATTTGTTGTATTTAGTTTGATGCTTATCCCGCCCTCCCTCCAAGCGGGCTCAGGGTGGGTTACAATCACAAGTTAACAATAGAAATCGCTAAAGCCATCTTTCCGTTAAAACACAAGCCAAACACAATCGGTGGACTCGCCTCGACAACAATGCTCCGTTTGGCCAGCATTGTCAGCAGGGGAGGCCGGAGAAGGGAGCCGTGTGACTCACGAAAGCTCCTCCCCTGCCACAAATGTTGTTAGTCTTTAAGGTGCTTCTAGGACTCTTGCTCTTTTCTGCTACTAAAGGTAAGAGTAAAGGTTCCCTTGCTCGAAAGCCAGTCGAGTCCAACTCTAGGGTTGCGGTGCTCGTCTCCGTTTCAAAGCCGAAGAGCCAGCGCTGTCCGAAGACGTTTCCGTGGTCATGTGGCCGGCATGACTAAACACCAAGGCGCACGGAATGGAGTTACCTTCCCACCAAAGTGGTACCTATTGATCTACTTGCAATTTCTTGCTTTCGAACTGCTAGGTTGGCAGGCGCTGGAACGAGAGACGGGAGCTCATTCTGTCACGCGGCACACTCAGGTCTCGAACTGCTGAACTACTGACCTTCCACAGCCTGCAGTTCAGCGTCTTAACCACTTGAGCCACCGCAGCTCCTACAGACTACTACAGACAGACTAATCTGGCTACTCACCTCGATCTAGCTCCATGAAAGGCATCGCATTTAGCCATACTGAATGGAAATCAATGAAATTGCTGAGCGGTCGGGTTAGAACGGATGAAAGGAAGTCCTTCTGCACCCAGAGAGTGATTAACACATGGAATTCACTGTCACAGGAAGTGGCGGCAGCTACAAGCATGGATAGCTTCAAAAGGGAATTAGATAAGCATATGGAGCAGAGGTCCATCAGTGGCTCTTAGCCACAAGGTATAGATGATGCTCTGTCTTCTTGGTGCTTGGGGGGGGGGGCTCTGGGGCAAGTGATGCTCTGTCTTCTTGGTGCTGGGGGGGTCAACAGTGGGAGGGCTTCGAGTGTCCTGGCCCCACTGGTGGACCTCCTGATGGCACTGGTATTTCTGGCCACTGTGTGACACAGAGTGTTGGACTGGATGGGCCGCTGGCCTGATCCAACAGTGGCGTCTCTTATGTTCTTAAATCCATCAGCCTTGTGATATAAGGGCAGATGGACTCCCATTCTAGCTGTGACCTGAAGAAGTGAGCCCGTGACTCACAAAAGCTCCTCCCCTGCCACAGATTTTGTTAGTCCTTAAGGTGCTCCTGGGCTCTTTGCTCTTCTGTACTGCTACAGGCAGATTAACAAAGCTGCCTATCCTGGTCTATCTGGGAAAGAACCTCACGAACAAGGAATGTTCAGGTAAAAGGATTTGGCACAGGTAATAAGTCCGGCAGCACTCGGTGCTTGTGTGTCTGCTTCATGAGATAATAAACCCATTTGGGATGAGTCTGTCAACCCAGGCAGCATGACCAGGCGATGGCCCCAAGACGTGGACACCCCGGACAGGGCCGGCTCACTCACTAGGCAAACTAGGCGATTGCCTAGAGCTGGCTGGCCCTTAAGGGCGCCAAACTGCACCCGGCCCAGTACTCTGGGAGTTTCTTGATTATTTGTGTTTTTCATTCTTCCTAAAATGTATTTATTTTTGAAAATTGGTGGGCACCCGAGGGGGGGGGGAGGGCCCCAGAAGGGATCCTTGCCTAGGGTGCAAAATAAGCTGGGGCCGGCCCTGACCCCGGATGGGCTGTGTGACCTTTTGCAGGCAGTGCTATTTGGGCATCCATGATGACTACGAGATGAACATCTGCACCACCTCAGGCCCAAGTGCATTATGTTTGCTATCAAAGTCACACTGGTGGTGGTATAGCTACAATGCCGTGTTCACACAACCAGGTCAACAATTGATCAAGAAGAAGAGATTGGATTTATACTCCGCCCTTCGCTACATGAAGGAGTCTCAGAGCGGCTTACAGTCTCCTCCCCCTCCCCACAACAGACACCCTCTGAGGTAGGTGGGGCTGAGAGAGCTCTCTCGAGGACTGCTCTTGAGAGAACTTGTGACTGACCCAAGGCCACACCAGCAGCTGCACGTGGAGGACAAGTGGGGAATCAAACCTGGTTCTCCCAGATTAGAGTTCGTGCTCTTAACCACTACACCACACTGGTTCATCAAAGGATGAAGACGCATGTCTGAACTGGCCTTGGCAAAGAGGCATTTGGGGTCGCAGCCTCACGGCTCTGTTACTGCTCTGGTGTGATGTGTAATAAGAAAATAAGCCCTGCTGGACCTAAAGTCCAACTAGTCCAGCATCCTGTCTCACACAGTAGCCAACCAGTTCCTCTGGAGGGCCAACAACAGAGCATAGAGGCCGAGGCCTTCATAAGAACACCAGAAGAGCCCTGCTGGGTCAGACCAGTGAGGGTCCATCTAGTCCAGCATCCTGTCTCAGACAGTGGCCAACCAGTTCCTCTGGAGGAGGGCCGAGAGGCTGAGGCCTTCCCCTGATATAGCCACCTGGCTCTGGGATTCAGAGGATTAGTGCCGTCAAATGTGGCGGTTCCCCTCAGCCACCACGGCTGGTAGCCATTGATAGACTTGTTCTCCATG